TGATAAATTTCAGAGGTTTGTGAAAGCAGCTTACGGGATTTTTGAGGAGAGTTTCTATAGTTTGAGATCTCTTTCACCCAGGGAGCTGAAACATTCTTCAACAGCCTGCTCTGAGACCCCAGACAGGATAGAAGGTTTCCACTTTGGACTCTGGTCTTTATCGATTAGCACTGCAAGCAGAGAGGGAAAAAATCTGACAGTCTTTTCTCTGTAGTTGTTCTGGACATAAAATTTGGTTAGGTGAGTGGAGCTGGCTAAGAATACTTTAATTTGAGGTAAAACCCTATAATAACCTTTATAATTGCCAATAACAGACATTATTAGATTATAGGGCTGGGTAAAAAATATTGATATCTCGATTTTAATCGATTCTCATTTTTACGGAATTATATTGATTCTTAAAGGAACACTCCACTATTTTTGAAAATAGGCTAATTTTCCAACTCCCCTAGAGTTAAACAGTTGAGTAGAAACTCTTTGGTCATTTTTGAGCGAGATGCTAACGGTCTAATCAGATTCAATGATCTATGCTAAGCTACAGCTAAAAGTGCTACCGCCAGACCCGGAGATCGGCTGAATGGATTCGAAAACGGTAAAACTCAACTGTTTAACTCTAGGGGAGTTGGAAAATTAGCCTATTTTCAAAAATAGTGGAGTGTTCCTTTAAATCCCCAAAATAGATTATTCTAGCCTGTTTTCAGTTAATGGATGGAACATTGAAGCGCACCTCCCATCCAATAAATCGCAATAAGCATTGTGCGTTGGTACTTTAAATATGAAATAAAGTCTCAGATTTCAAATTCTGTCCATTGTATTGCAGTATTCCAACAATAAATGCCATTTTGGCGCTGTTTAATGTGAAGTGACAGATCGCTGTAGCGCCTCAGTTTAACAAACCGACCATATTCTTCACATTAATACCAGTTTCAACAAAATAATCATGACTAAACATCCGAAGGTAAGTTAAAAGAAAGAGTACAACTTTACAATCCATATCCTGTCTAATGCAATCGCTCAATCAGTTTTTCAGCCGCGCAAAAACGTCAATATGGGGCTTGTAAACAATGTCACGTAACGTCACATTTACCTATACAATAAACTCATTAATCATATAGAAATCTGTAGAGAGGGGCATTTTGCTAAATATATGCACCATATAACATATTCATTATAACTTTTACTGTTCTTCAATGTTTAATTTATGTTTGAATACATTTTTATGACAACCACCATTTAAATGTTTATATTTAAAAAAAAAAAACGAATTGAAGTAGAAATATTATTATGTAATTGTAACTTTGTTATTTAAAAAACTTAATTAAGTGTCATTTTAGCAGTTGTACTACAAATCAGTCAATTTTAACCTTCAATATTATAGTATTGTACCAACTGACTTTCATGTACATTTTACAGCATTAGTGGAGAGATTTTGCTTTCCCTTGAGAAAATTTGGCATGTACTGTACCTGATATGTATCCAAAATAATCGACATTGAATCAAATCGAATCGGTAATCGAATCGAAAGCTTGTGAATGAGAATCGAATTGTGAAATTTGTGTCAAAACCCAGCCCTATATTAGATTATATAATTTTTTACATGTACAGAAATGTAAGAAACTCATCATCTCAAATGTAGTTTTAACACAAATATGAATTAACCATAAACATACTATCATAGACATATATCATATGGGATATTTCCAGAAACATTAGATGATAGTTAAAATTTTATAGAAATGTGTATGTAACGTGTAAAATGTGTAAATGTTAAATTTAGTAAATTACAAACTTTAATTTTATGGATTATTCTGGCAGAACATTATACTTCTAGATTGCTTTAATTTACAAAATTTTGAATGTTTAAGGTTAATTCTATTTAATTCAACATCCTATGGTTGTGGCCAATTTAATTCAAATGCCAAACCATGACTTTAAAGGGAGTACATTTTTAAAATAAATTTTACCAACCCTTTAAAACCAACATTCTGATTTGATACACCTTATATACAGTTTATTAATAGGCACTAATATGTGAAATTTTGAAGAAAATGTGTCTTACCTGCTCTGACTCCCTCATAAAAATCGTGACCTCTCTGCAAAGCAAGAGTAAAAACTCGTGACACAAATAACACAAATATTTCCCCTAAACTAATAACTGCCATGTGAAAAATGTGCCAACACTGCTTTAAGGTGATTTGATTTGGGTAATGAAATGATAAAGCATTGCATTTACAGGGAATTGCATTACATACCATACAGGCCTGACTGAGTCTATGCTCCTTCCTGAATCTGCCTGAAAGTTAACTTCAGTGAGGGTGGGGACATTTTGGCCAGAGTCTGTAAAATCCAATACAAAAACCCGAATTTAATAAGGAAAATAAATAAATAGCAATTTAAATATCCGACTGTATCAACAAAGTATCATCTTTTTGTTTTACACCATGAAAGCATGCTGAGTTGTGTGGCAGTAACGAAATTGGATTAAAAAATGCAATTAAAAACATTAATCTGAAATGTATGGTGGCTGAGAGAGCTCAACATGCTGCAAATGAAAAAACACCTGCAAATTAAGAAAACATCTTCATCAATTTGATACACGCGCTGCAAATTCACACAACACAAACAAAGAAATGCGCATCCCTTAAACATTTCCGATGTGGACTGTGTATATCTGCAGAGTGTTTCTGTATTTGGTTGTGTTGTGAGAATTTGCAGTGCGTTTCTGTATTTGCAGCGCGTTTCTGTATTTGGTCGTGTTGTGAAAATTTGCAGTGCGTTTCTGTATTTGATTGTGTTGTGAGAATTTGCAGTGCGTTTCTGTATTTGGTCGTGTTGTGAGAATTTGCAGTGCGTTTCTGTATTTGCAGCGCGTTTCTGTATTTGGTCGTGTTGTGAGAATTTGCAGTGCGTTTCTGTATTTGCAGCGCGTTTCTGTATTTGGTCGTGTTGTGAGAATTTGCAGTGCGTTTCTGTATTTGATTGTGTTGTGAGAATTTGCAGTGCGTTTCTGTATTTGATTGTGTTGTGAGAATTTGCAGTGCGTTTCTGTATTTGCAGCGCGTTTCTGTATTTGGTCGTGTTGTGAGAATTTGCAGTGCGTTTCTGTATTTGCAGCGCGTTTCTGTATTTGGTCGTGTTGTGAGAATTTGCAGTGCGTTTCTGTATTTGATTGTGTTGTGAGAATTTGCAGTGCGTTTCTGTATTTGATTGTGTTGTGAGAATTTGCAGTGCGTTTCTGTATTTGCAGCGCGTTTCTGTATTTGGTCGTGTTGTGAAAATTTGCAGTGCGTTTCTGTATTTGCAGCGCGTTTCTGTATTTGGTCGTGTTGTGAAAATTTGCAGTGCGTTTCTGTATTTGATTGTGTTGTGAGAATTTGCAGTGCGTTTCTGTATTTGGTCGTGTTGTGAAAATTTGCAGTGCGTTTCTGTATTTGATTGTGTTGTGAGAATTTGCAGTGCGTTTCTGTATTTGGTTGTGTTGTGAGAATTTGCAGCGCGTTTCTGTATTTGGTCGTGTTGTGAGAATTTGCAGTGCGTTTCTGTATTTGGTCGTGTTGTGAGAATTTGCAGTGCGTTTCTGTATTTGGTCGTGTTGTGAGAATTTGCAGTGCGTTTCTGTATTTGCAGCGCGTTTCTGTATTTGGTTGTGTTGTGAGAATTTGCAGCGCGTTTCTGTATTTGGTTGTGTTGTGAGAATTTGCAGTGCATGTGTTGTCAAATTGATGAAGATGTTTTCTTAATTTGCAGGTGTTTTTTTCTATTTGCAGCGCGTTGAGCTCTCTCGGCCACCGTACAATTGGACAGACCGAGCAGCTAAAGTTATGATTTTAATTTCATTTAAAATTTGTTTTCGATTTGATCAAAGACCTTGAAAGACTTATAAAACAGTGGATGGATGGATGTTTGCTTAAGTTTTCACAAAAATTAACAGAAGCTGCAGAAATGTGTCGTTTTGGGTGAACAAAGTCATCATTTCTTTTATTTTTCTTTGAACTATCAATTATCTCCCAATAAATAAATACATACATAAATACATCTAAAATAAAATCAAATAAAAAAAGTGTGAGCTGGGGAAAACATTAAATGGTCCACACACACAAGGGTAATGGCCAAGTGAACTGTTGACAAAAAGAGGCCCCACATGAGCAGAAGACCAGTCCATGAACAGCCTTGTGTTTGGGGAGATCCTTGCATGACCTGTTTGGTCATAAATCTTCACTTTTAATTCAAACGGCATATTCTGTTTATATCAGGGTCACTTTGTATAATACAGTATAATGAGATATTGCGATTATTTATATTGTAACTTTGTATAGGTCATGAAAGGACAAAAACAGCAAACAGGAAACAGAATTTCACTCAAAAAATAATAGTCCAGACATATACTGAGCAACAGCAACTGTAAATATTCAACAATAAAAGAACACAATTTAAAACATCAATTTCCTTTCTACAGCTCACTATAAACAAAGTGATGCATGGCAAAGTAGCGCTATGGGAGAAAAAACAGAATGGCTTTGAAATACTAATGAGGTATAATATGATTCAGGGCCCATTACGCAATAGAAGAGAGAGCAGAGAGCACACAGACCTCAAATGAGAAGCCATACGCGCTCATTCTGTTTATCTCGCTAAACATCCCAGAATCAATCAGACGCTTTACCCAGCTGCATGAGCAGGACATGGAAACACACTCCTATATGAAGAACAAACCAAACCTTGCTACGACCTTTCCTTTTGCCATGTCATTTTATGAGATTCATTAAAACACCACTTGCACTAGGGAGTGAATGTGAGCTTCGTATGGGTCTTACTCTGCTAAATAATTGAATAATTCATCCAAAAAGTCATATATAAAAAATACTGTCATAATTTATTCACCTCATGTTGTCCCAAACCTGTATCACTTTATCTTTTCTGTAATACACAAAAAGGCCATTAAGGTCATATCCTGGCCATTCTTTTCAATATAATGAAAGTGAACAAGGACTAGGGCTGAGAGCTGTAAAACTTCGAAGTCATAAAAATAAATAAATGAAAAAACACCATAGAAATATTATAAAACTGATCTATCGTAAAGCACACACTATATTCCATCTTCCAAAGCAGAGGTCCCCAACCACCAGGTCGCGACCCACTACCGGGCTGTGGAAGAATTGCTGCCGGGTCGCAAGAACGTTCTGGGAAAAATGTGTATAGTTATGACACTCTGTTATTTATTTATGTTAATGATTGCTCTAATTATTCTGTATTTTTTTTGTATGCGATTGATATGGAGTAGCAATTTGACAATTTCATGTTAAATAAGTAAATGAAAGATTGCTCTGATCTGTCACATTTTAAGCGTTAAATGGATCGCAGTTGATCCGTAATACATATGGATGAGACCCTACCGTTTGGCACGCACGTGATTCGCAGATTAATTAGCCAATTTACAAGTACAATTTTAGCAATTTTAAACCACAAGAAGAAGAAACGAAAGAGAGCTCAATTCGTAACTCACTCTCGCACACAATCAAAGCACGCACAAGAGACGTGTTTCGGACAGCGCGGAAATACCGAGTTGCGTATACATACACATGGGGGTCAAAAACCCTTCACGGCATTGTCATTTTCTGTGCTTTAAATATTTGTTTTCTTGCTTATCCGAAAATTTTTTCCAGTATGTGACAAAAAAAAAACACAATATAATGCGCTGAACCACTATATAATGCTATTATAATACTATATAATAGCCTAATATATATATATATATATATATATATATACTGTATATATATTGTGACGAGTCGGCTGCCTCCCCCTAATTATCATCATCACCCTGTCCCTTAATGACGCCTGACGCCACACCCCCTGTGTCTGTCGTGTGCTCCCCCCGTGACATATGGTGGAGAATGCGGGCAAGGCGGAGCCCAGACGACACAGTGGGGAACGCCTGATGACGTCATCCCCTCTCGCCCGGGAAAAACCCTAGTGGAAACCCGGACTGGGACGGAGGGACGGCAGAGACGGCCTCCCCACCACCAAAGGGGTAAGTGATGTTTTTGGTTCCATTGTCATTTACCCTGTGGTTGGTTGAGGCTGTCGACTAAAACCCAGTTTCTCTGTCCCTGTTCCGGCACGGGGCGAGAGGGAGAACTGCCCGGAGAGGAATCCCCGCCCCTCCCGCTCCGAGCCTGGTTGAGGATGGTAGCACTCCCGTGCGGGCGGCGGCGTGATGACGGGGACGCCCCTCGCGTCGCGGACTGGAGAGGGGAGCCGTGCGGCCGCCGGACTCCGCCCCTTACCTGGACCCCTCCTTCCTGATCACTGCCCTTCCCTGCACGAAGCCCGCAGCACGACGAGGACACCAGATTCCCTGTTTATTTTGGACACTAGATACCCCTTTTTCCCTGGACATGATATTGTTTGATTTTATTGTCAATAAAAGCCTCTCCAAGGCCTGACGCCACACCCCCTGTGTCTGTCGTGTGCTCCCCCCGTGACAATATATATATACAGTATATTAGGCTATATACCCCCACCCCCAGTCCAGCCGGTCCGCGAGAATATTTTCCAAACGTAAACGGTCCGTGGTGTAAAAAAGGTTGGAGACCCCTGTTCTAAAGTCATAAGTAGCTTTCTGTGAGGTCAAGACTGTAATTGTTAATCACAACAATTTTCACTTTTGGGTCATTTTTTTGTGTGTTTAGCCACCCTCCCTGAACCCACCTCAGTCTGTTTGAGTGCAAAAGCAGAGCCATCTTTCTTAAGGTTCTCCATGATCTCCTCCACACTTCCAGCTGAAAAGAGCCTGAAACAATAGAACAACAACAAAATATGGTCAGTCCTACAAACACAAACATGTATACAAACCCCATCTGTGGAGGTTTTTCTGCTGCACGCTCATCCAGTCAAGCCAAATTAGTCATCAGATTTAATCCTGGGACAGCAGATTAGCGCAGAATCAACTGATGTTATGTAAGGTTCATATGCAATGCAGAGTCAAACTCCACAAAAACAGGTAAACAAGGGGTGTATAGGCTCATGGCAATTTGTTCCACTAAACGCTCAAGCACCCGGAAGGGAAGACGTAAAGACAACATTGCACACGCTCTGGTCATGGTGGAAACTTGAGTTTTGGAGCATGTCCAATGTTTATCAGTCCGATCATTTCAGGCCTTTGATCAACAAACCCAACTTTTTCCCTGCACATTGAATTATGGGCCTTTCAGAGTGCCATAAATTGCCTGGAAGTTTTCAAGTTTTACCAGCACCCGAAGGCTGGTGTCTACAGCTTATCCAGTGAAACAGACACAAACCCAGAAGTATAACTAATCGGTTTCAAAAGTGTGAAGTCTACAGATATTAGGCCAGCACTGCTCCTGCAGATGATTTTGACTCCACCATCACAGTATGCAAACAGTGCAATTACACAACTACTGTGTCACTGCTAATCATACTTAAATATTACAGGTTAAATGCAATGCTGATTTATACTGGAGCTGGGAGATATAGCTAATGTTCAAAAGTTTGTGGTTTGTGTTTGAAATTAAAACTTTTATTCAGCAAGGATGCATTCATTTGATCAAAAGTAACGGTAAAAACATTTATAATGCTACAAAAGGTTTCCATTTCAAATAAATGCTGTTCTTTTCAACTCTTTACTTATCAAAGAATCCTGAAAAAAGAAACATCACTTGATCACTTTTGATCAATTTGATGCATTCTTGCTGAATAAAAGAAATAATCTTCTATCCCCTAAACTTGTAAATGGTAGTGTGTCATGGTTTTCACAAAAATATTAAGCAGTACAACTGTTTTTAACATTGATAATGATAAGAATGTTTATTAAGCACCAAATTAGTATATTAGAATGATTTCTGAAGGACAGTGATGAAAAAAAAACGTGTACATCTACAAAAATGGCTAGATAGATAATTGATAATTGAGATAACTGATTGAATGATAGATCATTTGAATTGAATGATAGATCATTTGTATCTATAAAGGTTTGTCCTCTTTTTCATTTTTCAGTAAACAGAATGATCAACATTTAACCTACAATTCTGATCATGAATTCTTCTGGATTGATCCAGAATCTCAAAAGAATTGCAACATAATGTTGAACCAAGTACTATAAAAAATTATAAAAGCATGAAAACTGATGCTTAATTATAAATGTTTGAGCATTTAGAAAAAATTTTTTTTTTGTAAAAAACATGTAGTGCACTTACACTGGAAGCCTATAGGGCAAGTGTAACGAATGTTTTAAAGCACATACATTCTTGTTCTTCAAAAAGGTGTATTCAGCTAAGAACTCCCCAATTTCAATAGTCAATTGACTTCAGTAAGCATCACTAATAACTATACATGACCATTTCAAAAGCAATATCAGACTAGAGAGTTAGAGAGTTGGACTCGTAACCCAAAGGTTGCGGGTTCGAGTCTCGTACCGGCAGGGATTGTAGGTGGGGGGAGTGAATGTACAGTGCTCTCTCCCACCTTCAATACCACGACTGAGGTGCCCTTGAGCAAGGCACCGAACCCTGCTCCCCGGGCGCCGCAGCAAAAAATGGCTGCCCACTGCACCGGGTGTGTGTTCACTGTGTGTGTGTTCACTGCTGTGTGTGTGTGTGTGTGCACTTTGGATGGGATAAATGCAGAGCACTAATTCCTAGTATGGGTCACCATACTTGGCCATTTCAAGGGAGAGCTTTAGTTTCATTCTATTTTGTGTTAGGGCATATGACAATAAAGCAAGGAGAGAAGAGCGTTTAGGTTTACCTGTCGATGGCATCTGTCTGTTCTTGCAGCACAAAAGGTTTCTCAGCATCCAGACTGCTCTGAGGAGACATAACAGCAGTTTACACACCAGCTGAAGCACATATATAGGGCTGTATTTCAACCCAGACAACTGCAATCCTCATCTATCTGTGTGTGAATATGTGTGAGGCCATTTTTGTTCCTGTCAGACACCATGGCTGTGTCTGAAGCTGAAGATTAAGCATAAGAAACATTTTTCAAAAACAAAATTTTCACTGGTAGTGCATATACAAATACACTATAAACTAGTACACTGTTGACTGACTGTTTCAGATTCAGGCCATTTATCATTTCATCTTTTGTGTAGACTAATTTACTCCCTCCTAGTGCTTTAAAGCTGTGACATGAATCCCAGTGACATTTCATTTTACGCCTGCTCTAGAGATACAGATATCTCTGTTTCAATACATTGTCACAGAATCCGTAACATGGAATCACAATTCACTGTTAGAATGTCTATATTCCTCTCTTATCTGCTCAGGTCTGGATACACCCCATCTAATCTTTAGTATCAAACAATATACAGGCTTTAAAGTGCAACCTTGATGAACAAAGTTAATATAAGTGTATGGTTTTATGGTTTAGTGGCAGCTGTAGTATATAAAACTCTCTTTGAAGCAGGAGCATTGCCAGACATAAATAACATCCAGTGCACTTTAGTGGCATATCATAATGCAAAGACTACCTGTAAATAATCAAAGTGTTTGGATTTTTAATTAGGCTACTATTATAATTTGTTGAGAATAAAATAAAAGGATTGATCATAAGAGGTCTGGCAAGGGTCTGTGAAAGTGGTTTGTCCGGAGCATGAAAGTCCCTCCCTCCCGAGGATCTCTGGAAATCTTTGTGATGTAAAGACTGTATGAGTCACAATAATCCTCACTTAGACACTCCTGTTCGGCATACACAACTTCACAGCATTAAACACAGATGGCCATAAATCCATACCACTAAGCCATAATGAGTGTAATGAGTATAGTAAAACACAGAAGAGGACTTTGAGCTTTTGGACAGTCTTGGGAATACTGTCACTAAACTGAACTTCATGTTCATTATAGCATACTGAAACCAGGGTGT